CTGTCATGGTCCCATCCCATTCCATATCATGTGTTTTGTGGTCTCCCCCATCCCACTCCAAGGGCGTGCTCATTACCCTGAGGGCTCCCCCATGGGAATGGGGGTAGTGAGGCCCCAAGCTTCTCCCCCCCCCAACTGCTAAATTCTGTTGTCTGGAAGATGGGTTTTGGGGAGTCACCTGCTGCACTACACAAGAAAGGGGCTCCCATTTGCCCTTCCCTTCCTCCTAAGTCCCTTTTGTCTTATCTGTCTGGCTGTCTGTGTGTGGGTCACTGGAATTCAGAGTCCCTGAGCCAGTCCTCTACTTCCCAGCCTCTCTGGGGGCCTCCCTAACTCCACCTAGGCTGCCAGGGACTGGGGCCTACTGGTTCAAGGCCATCGGGAGCTCTGCCTCCCAATCTATCCCACCTTTTCATGGGCTCCCTCACACTCCTCCTCTCCTCCCTCCTTGGTTCTTCCACTCTCCTTTTTGCCTGTCTCCCTTCTCCTCATATTTGTCCCTACTTCTCACCATTTTTCCGCCCTCCTCCCTTCTTCCTCTCTTACCTGGCTCCTATGCTGTGATATATATTTTTGTATTATCTTTCTTCTTGTGGTGATAATCTTGAATTCTTGTGGGATGTAAGTTTCAAAATTTTCAAATAAAGCCTTTGCAAGATACTGGAGTTAGTTCTGCTTATGAACTCTGAAGAGAGGAGAGGGAGCAGGCAACAGGCAGCCAAGAAGGGAGGAAAAGAAGGATGGGGGTTTGAAAGGAACCCCTTAAGACTCTGTGTGACAATGGGCTGCTCCAACCTGGAGTTAGGGTTCCTGGGTTTTTGTTTTGTTTTGTTTTTAAGGGGGTAGAGGGGCAGAGGGAAATGGAGAAAGAGAATTTTAAGCAGGCTTCCAGCCCAGTAGGGAGCCTGATGTGGGGCTTGATCTCATGACTCTGAGATTCTGACCTGAGCCTAACCTACTGAGCCATCCAGGCGCCCCGTGGGCTTTGACTTGGAACAGAATGGAAGAAGAAACTGAAGGGAGCAGCCAGAGCAAGAGAAACTGGAAGAGTGGCTTGCTTGTTACTTGCCAGTAAAGGTCAAGAGAGACCATAAGAAAGGAGACAGAGAGTGGAACACCTGGGTGGCTCAGCGGTTGAGCGTCTGCCTTTGGCTCAAGGCGTGATCCCGGAGTCCTGGGACCGAGTCCCACATCAGGCTCCCTGCATGGAGCCTGCTTCTCCCTCTGCCTGTGTCTCTGCCTCTCTCTCTCTGTGTGTCTCTCATGAATAAATGAATAAAATCTTAAAAAAAAAAAAAGACAGAGAAAAGGAACAGGCAATGAAGCCAGCAAGAAAAGGAGTGAGCTGATAAGACAGACGGAGGGTAAAGGGTGAAAGGAAGAGAAAAAATGGAGTAAAGGGGAAGAGGTGAGAGGGGCCACAAGGAGGCTGCCCTTCTTGGTGTATTTTCAGCCTCGCTCCCGAACTTGTCCCCATCTACAGCTGCCCTCCAAAAGCTGTGCAGTGTTAGAATCCCTGTGGTTAGCTCTCACTAGCTTTCTCCCCCTCCGCTCTGCCCTAAGAGAAAGGAACTGCTAGGGTACAAGGGCAGGATCAAGGGGTATGTTTGGGGGAGGGAACAGGCTGCCCAGCTGGGATCAGTCACCTCTGAGCCCCCCATTCTAGGTTTGGCTCTAGTGAAAGCTCTGCAAAAGCCCACATATCAGCCTCTCAGCTGTTGCTAAGTTCCATTGCCATGGTAACCACCCAGGTCCCATTTCTCCCCCCACCCCCATCTGTGCCCCACTTGCTCCCTGGAAATGTGGAGCTCCTGGGAGGAGAGGATACTGTTATGAGCCAAGGGCAGTCTGGGCTACCCCAGACTCTGAATGCCTCCAAGCATTTTGCAGCTGGAATTAGGAGTGTATAGGTGTTGGTAGGTGTATGTTTTAGGTGTTGGGGAACTTTCCTGTCTACTCAAGGAAGTGTGTGTGAATCCATATAGCATACAATGGTGAGGGGAGGAGGGAGCATATTTCTCAAGACCAGAGCAGCACATTTGGGGTATCAGACTCCCTGAGAAAAACAGTGCTACAGAAGAAAAAGCCAGAGCAGGAGCAAGGAGTGATGAGCCAACCAAAAGCAGAGGTGTAAAGCCAACAAACTGCTGAGGAGGGCTCAGAGTCAACTCAGAGAGGCCTAAAGAGAGCCCAGTGGCAGCTGGCAGAGGGAGAGGGCTGGATGGAATGGGAGGGTGCAGGAAAAGGTGCTGAGGACATGGGTTGGGGGCAGTGAGGGATGAATCCGAGGTGGATGGGAGAAGAAGCCTCACTAACCTTTCCCTTCTTTCCCCCCAGGAATCTAGTCCTTGTCAGGTGGGGGGTGGGGAGGAGCTCAAGTGCCTGGAGAGCACACCACTGCTCTATCACCCTCTGCAACTGTAGTTCTTCAGAGGGACAGTGTGACCCCGAGGCTCATCCATATGCAAAAGTCATGCATGAAGGCCCCTAATGAAGAGGGAATTAATTATTGCCTGATTAGCCTGCTGTTCCTCTAAATTTAAATAAATTAAAATACACCAGCAAGATACTGGGAAATCCTCACCTGTTCCTTCTCCCGAAATGCCCTCCTTCCCCGTGGAAAGTCAGATGGCAGGGAAAGACAGAGGAGAAAGGAGACGTCCTAGTCTCCTGAGCTGTCCTAAAGGAAATATCCCAAACTAGATTACATTGTCAGGATAATCAGGATGAGTTGGGAGGCCCTGGGGAACAGATCCTAACTTTTATCTTTCATGAAGTTGAAACAGACTATGGGGCCTTTGGAGGTCCTTGAAGGTAGCAAGTGGTAGAGCAGAGTCACTGCTTAGTGACAGACCAAGAACACAAACTATGGCCATATGACCTTTTTGGTTCTTGGAAGCCACACATCACAAGCACCACTGGGACCAGTATCTCTCATCACTATGCTTTCTTTGCCTCCTGAGCTGTGCATCAAATGACTCAGCCCATTTTTCTGGAATGCTTACCATTATGGCTCAGACCAAACCAGGAAATGGGGAAGCCCCCAGGAGGAGGGATCTCCCAGGCAGAGCTCAGGGTGTGGAAGTGATTCAAGATGGAAACAGTGTGCCAGCTGGAAAACCCCAGGCTAAAATTAACAGCCCTCCTCCCCCTACGCCCCACATTTATCTCTAAAGCTCTTCTCTAAGGAGTTCAAAGCACTTTAAAATCTGGCTTCTTATAGCAAGGGCAGAAGCCTGGCTGACAGTTGGAGACACGGAGGCTCAGCGAGTACCTGTTAATGAAAATAGGAAAAGAACAAGAGGAGAACCAGGACTTAAGAGTGATTATTATGATTTTGCTCTCACTTCTCTATCTCAGCCTCCAAAATTGACGTTTCTGGAATTAGCAATTCTAACCCATACAGCAAGTAGGTCTGGTCACATCTGAGCCCTTAAGATCTTATCCTGCCAACTGTTGCTCCTCAGTTAACACAGACTGAGTACAGAGCCCCAAAGTGTGATTGAGACAGTAGGCACTTTCTAAAAAAAAGATACAAACTATAATGACAAACCAAAGATACCTATCTTCTATTTAAACATTTAACTTAACTATTTTTAGGCGTCCTTGGTACTTCCTTGCTGTGATTTTGGAGAAAAAAAAAAAGGACCATTTAAATCTTCAGAGTCTAATTTTCATTATCCATAAAGTAGATAATTAAAAATAAATTTATTTTTATTTGACTTATTTTCTTTTCTAAGCAAAGGGCTATTACTGTTAGTAGGGGGGACTTCAATTCTGCTTCAGCCAAAATAGAGCTCAGCTCAGGGGATCCTGGCCAGATCACGGTGAAGGCAGCATTCATTTACTCAAAAGCATGTATTTATGCACCGTCTACTATGCACTCAGCAAAGCAGTGGGAAGGATGCCATGTACGAGACTGTTTCTTCTCTGAGGAACTGACAAGTTTGCTGAAGAGTCAAATATATGAAATAGTTAAAAGAGCAACAAAAGGTACAGACTAAATGCTGTGGAAATTCAGAGAAAGAAATCGTTATGCATTCGAGCAATCCCGTAAGGCTTCCTGAAAAGAGTTCATATCGTGTTCATTTATGGAACAAACGTTTCCTGACCACTTACTAAATGCCAGGCTCTGAGGATACGGGGGTGAACAACTCAAAGCGCTTGCCCTCATGGAGCCGATATTCCAGCAGGAAGAGGTGAACAGCAAACGATCTATCAGGGGGTGATGAGTGCTGTATTTAAAGGTAGAGCAAGGTGAGGAGATAGAGACTGGGGGGTGGAGGGCAACAAGAACATAGAGACCGAAGGTCAAGAGCACTGGTGTGGTCAGGGAGAGGTCATCAGTTACTCTGGCGGGCCTGAGCCCCTACTGAGGGACCACAGAAAACAACTGACACATCCTCATCCCTTCCCGCAATTCAAAGCACTGAGACATTCTTGAGAACAAAACGAAAAATAATGGCAACTTCCTACATCAGTCTATTAGTCTATTTTACACTGAGAGAAGGGAAACGGACCCACCGTCATTTAAGAACCCCTACCTCCCTACCTCCCTAGCGCCTCTCGTACCTGATGCATAATTCATAAACCTGTCGGCTTCCACCCTCCCACTTCCCCAGAAGTCCCTTCCGGAAGCCCGGGACAGCACTTCTGAAGGTTCAGTTTCTGCCCTTAGCGGAATCCGCCTCCGCTTCCGTTGTGACGTCACATCCACACAAGGCTCTCTCGCGTCCCCGCAGAAGCCACTTCCGCCCCTACTTTTCGTAACTTCCGCCCTGAGACTCCCAGAGCGCTGGCAGCGCCGGATGTGCTCTGCCGCTCCCGGAAGTGACTCGACCTTTGCATTCCCTCCCTCCCTTTCCACATTACCGCCCCCCCTGCATTGCCATTTCCCTCCCTCCCCCCCTTTTCGTTTCCGGCGCTCCCGCCTTCTCTCCGCCGCAGCTCTACTCCGAGTCTGTTGGGGGGAGGGAGGGAGGGAGGGAGGGAGGGGGCGTGGAGGGATCGGGGTTCTCGGGAGCACGAGCTGCAGCACCACTTCCGGGTGAGTTAGAGGAGGGAGGGAGGGGGGCCACCCACTGCCTCGCGCCCCCGCCCTGCGGGTGTCTCGCGCGCATTCCGTGCGTGTGAGTGTGTGGGTCTGTCTCGCGCCGAAAGTGCGTGCCCGCGCGCTCCGCCTCGCGCTCTCCCCCCTCCCCTCGCCCCCTGCTGGTCCTCCCGCCCCACTCGGCTCCCTCCTTTCCCAGCAAACGCCGCCCCTCCCGCGCTCTGGCTCAGGCTCTGGCGCCGCCGCAGCCGTCGCCGCCGGGTGAGTCTCGCGCCGCTGCAGCCGGCGCGCGCCAAGCTCTCTACTCCTCCCCCCTCCCCTTTTCCTTGGGGGGGGGCGTGGAGGGGGGGTCCACGGTGTGACTGTATGTGTGTCCGTCCCGGAACCGGAAGTGGTTGTGGAGGAGCGGGCGATGGGGAGGAATGGGGGGGTTTAGGGGGCGGGTGTCTGTCTGGTGGGTGGCAGAGTTTAGCTCCCTGGAGGGGAAGGAGGGACGTCCCAAAGAAGGGTCTTTCAGGAAGGGGTGGGGGGCGACATCAGGGGAAGGCTCCCGGGGGCTGTCTCGGGGGAGCGAAGGTTTTGGGGGGACAGCTGGGGTCTCCAATAGATAGACCCCTGTGCAGGCTGAGGGAGGTACTTCTTGGCGCAAGGCCTTGGGTAGGCAGGGGCGAAGTCCTCGCACAAGTGGGGGGAGGCCAGAGGAAGTGGCCGGGCCTGAACTGGCACTGTGCCTGACACAAGGGCTTGTGCATCCCCCCTGGCCTTCAGCTTTGCCTTCTGAGCCAGTCCTCAGAGGGCAGGGGCCCATCTCTTCCTCCACCTCTTCTCTTCTCTGACCCCTGGTGACCTGTGGCCCTGGGGAAGAAAGAAGAGCCAGTATCTCAGCCCAGGAGTGGAACCCAAACACGGGTGTTAGAGTTCACCTTAGTTCCTGGGAATTGGATTTATTTCTCTTGTATCCACATAGTGGGTGGCACTGCACTCCTTACCATACCATTGCACCTTTGGATTGTTGGTTCGGGGTCTGCCTGCCTTCCAGACTGACTGCTGACAGTGGAAAGAATTCCTGAGGTTCTCCGCAGTTCTCTGGTGGCTGCACCCTTACTGGCCCCTGTAACCCAGACGATTTGTTTACAGAAAGTTCAGGAGCCCTGGAAAGGAGAAGGAATAAGACGACAGGAGGAAGAGAGAGAGAGGGTAAGACAATTTTGGGTTAATGGCTTTTCTGGTTTGGGAGGAGAAGGGGTCATAATTAAATGGGCTTCTTGGGTGACAATGTGACAGAGTCCTTCTAGTAATAGCAATTGTAATACTGGTGTTTGCTGTGAGAGGAAGATTAATTCTTGAAGATACCCAGGAAGTTTTTGTGTATAAAGTTAGCACTGTATCCCCATCACTTTCCCTTCCCACTAGTATTCAGAAATGATTTATGAAATGCCCAAGTGAAGTCACTAAATAGAGTTGCACTGTGTCCAAAGGAGGAATTTATTCTGCTCTGGGGACAAATGGGCCCCAGTGGCCAGTATAGTCTTTGTGGTCTAGCTTATGGAATTGCTTTCCTGTGTTTGGAACAAGCAGAGTTGAGTTTAGAGTGGGGTTTATATTCTTAGTATCAAGTGGACCTGTTGAGTTAGTTAAATCTGTGACAAAGGGTTATTTCAGTTTGATGTGTCAGGGTGAAATTTTCAGGAAAGGAATACAAAACAAATTTCATCTGTGGGTGCTTTGAAGGCAAGTGGATAAAATTGTATGGAGTGAACTTCAGAAGTAGGTCTGGAAGAATTCAAAATATGAAGTTTGATGGTGGTAGAATTTTAGGTAGTCTAGAAATGACAATGTGAGATCCACCAGAGTTTGAGTTCAGAGTCTCTAATCCTAGAGGTGTCTTGTAATAACTGATTCCAGTCTGGTTTATAAAACTTATTCCCCATCGATTTCTGAGCCAAGTTGATAATTAAATATTAAGTGCACATTTCCTCATCTGTAACTGCCCCACCGCCTTTCCCCTGCCCACTTTTTTGGGGGGTCTTGTATTTCCCAGATCCATCATTTGTAGTGGAATGGGCAGGACAGAGGAACCACTTTGCTTTTCTTCCCACAGGGTACTGGGTACCATGGTCCAGCGGTACCCAGGGTAGAAGTTGCTGGCTCATATTGCAAACTGTGTGGTGACAGTGGTCCTGTGGGTGTGTTTGGGCATGGTGTGATGATCTTTCCCAGGAGGATTGGGATAAACCTGTTCTGAGTTCGCAAATGGTAGGAAGGCCACAGATTATATTGGGATGGCCCTTCCTGAATACCCTTAGAAGTTGAGGAAAAAGATTTTGTTATCTTACTGAGAAAAAAAAAATGGTTCTGTCTCTTCATTTCAAATCCTTAGCTAATATCGCAGCCTTTCTGCAATTGTGCATTTTGGAGCAGTTTTTTACTGTAGAGTGTCTGAAGTCTGTGGGTCAAGTTCTTTTCTGTAGTTGAGTTTGACTTGATTGTTCTTTGAATCTCTTATTGTTAGTGCTTCCAGTTGATGATTACTAAGCTGGAGGCTATAGATCTGGTACTTTTGGTAGTACCTTTGTAATTATGTGGTCTTTACGTAATTGTCAGTAATTGTCGCTAGTAGTCCTCGGCACATGGAAGTATTTCCCTAACTCTCTTCATTTCGGGAGCACTTGAAGCATTTTATTCTTTTTCTTTTTTGAGCTGCCTCCCATCACCATATGCCTTATGAATTTGTTTTAAGGGGTTTATTCTCCTCCATTCTCTCTCTACTCAAATAGAAACTTAGTAGAATAGTAAATTACTCAGAGTCAACCACTGATGTGGGACCCAGAATTAGATTCCAGAAGTCTTGATTTCTAGGTTCATTCTCCAGCTACTACACTTGGTTGGCACAAGTTTTTCATGATTTTCTAAAGACTTGTTGCGTTAAGAGAATATTGCTTTCCTGAGGAAAAGTCGGGCTTTATCTGAAAAAATAATTTTTAAAAATGCAGTAAGTACCAGGAAAGAGATTGTGGTCTTTTGCCATGTCTGTGAAAACCACATGGTGCAGGCACTGACAACTTTGTTCCTGGATGGCTGGTAGCAGTATGGAAGGATGGACAGATGGACAAAGCTTTGGTACAGGAGTTCAAGTCCTACTAAATGTTCTGTGGGTGTTACTTAATATTGTCTTTTTTCTTCACCTCCTCAGTGCTTCCAAGATTTCTTTTGAGACTGGGAAAGAAATGTGTAGTGCTTTGACCCTCTTGAGAGAAAAACACTGTTCAACCTAATTATAGCAAACTTTCCTTTTTATTAACAGAGTGGCTGTGGGATGGTAAAGTTGAAATTAGAACCCAGGTTTTCAATCTGCCAGCAATCTTCTTTCTACTTACTATGTTTTTCCATCTTTCCTGCTCTTTGAATCTGTAATAAAAGCCACCTACTTCCTTCCCAATCCAGGGTAAACCAATTCTTTTTATTATCGTTGATCTATTGGCATAATCATCAAAACCGGTACTCTGTAGAAATGAGGTTTCCCCATAATGTCATTGGGCTCCGGTTTTAAGAATATTGGTTATGTGCCTACTTGGACATCGGGATGATTTGAGGAGAATCCCTCCATGAAACATAGAAAGTTACTAGGTTAATGGACAGTAAAGAGGTATTGAGAGATCTGGCACCAGAAGCACCCTGTTGCACAACTCCAGGGGGCACTGTTTACCTTGTATGCTGGCAGGAGCCTTCCTTCTTGACTCTCCATTTGATCTCATTTCAGGGATATAGAGATTGAAGTCAGCCTTTGCAGAACAGTAGTTTGGCATATAGGTGTCATTTTGCAGGGAAATAATTGCTTCTAGTTGAGTGAGCAGAACTCTCCATGTACCCCCTTCTCTTGGGTGGGCATATTTATTGGACGCCCACAAGGCGCATTTATTACTGTGTCTTGGGACCAGCTGTGATTCTGATCTTCAGCGCAGAGTGGGAGCCTGGGTGGCTCAGTGGTTAAGCGTCTGCCCAGGGCACGATCCTGGAGTCCCGGGACTGAGTCCCACATCGGGCTCCCTGCATGGAACCTGCTTCTCTCTCTGCCTAAGTCTCTGCCTCTCTCTGTGTGTGTCTCTCATGAATAAATAAATAAAATCTTGAAAAGAACCAAAGCAGAGTGATAAACTGGATATACAGGGAAATGGAGGGGCCTTTTATTCTAAGTGTACCCCCTTGGATGATCTGGCCTTTTTACTTTGATTCTGTTGTTCTAAAATCAATTACCTGGTGGCCAAGTGAGGTCTCCCAGGTTGTGGGCAGAGAATATCATCTTTAACTGCACTTTTGCTGTTAACAAAATTTCATTTTTTGGAAACATTTATTGAGAACTATCTCAGAAACATATGGTCCATTCCTGGAAATGTTGTAATTTTAATTGATGCATTAAGCCACAGTATCAGAGAGTGTATACTTAAGTTGTTGGGTTTTGGTCTCTTGTAGAACCCCCGGTCTTAACTTGCTCTTTGGTATCTGCATTCAGATCCATGCTCAGATATTTACTCTTTGACTCTGGGATTTCAGTTTCCTCCTTTGAAACATGAGGATCCCAGTCCCTACTTCATGGAGTTGCTGTGGGGATTAAATGATGGAATAGTGGCGAAATACTTAGAAGGGCTTAGAACAGTGCCCTGAACACAATGAGGACTTAATAGATGTTAATGGTGTTGGTGGTGGGGACCTTGTCCTGTCCTCCACATCACTTTGTGTGCCTCCTTTGTAAGAACCCATGGGGGCTATTTCAGAAAGTGTTTCACCTGAGCCACTTGTAGGACGATATGAATGGATCTAATCTTTATTGGCGGGGAGGGGCATCATGCTTAGGAACCCTATCTGAAGACATTCTTATTTTCAGGCTTTCAGTTCCTCACTCCTAAATTTTCACATCCCTAATGTGTTTACTTCCTTGACTCTAGGGAGAAATTATAATTAGACCCTCCTTTCTTTATTCTCCAGCCTAATTCTCTACTTCATTCCCACCATAGGCCACCACTGTGTCATTTCTCTTGACTAGAAGGTTAGACAGATAGGGGTTGTAGATTATGGGTTGAGCCCCTAGCATTGTACTTAAAATCTGCATGTAGACAGCCAACTGTCATTCTGTTCATTAAATATGGAATTGCATTCTGGGTGAGGAGCTCTGTGTTAGAGATGGTAGGTAGGTCCAGGATGTGATCCCTGCTTCCCAGAAGGCTTGGCAAGTTTGGATCCCCTTTAAAAACTGTGATCTGATCATCTCTTGATTTCTGTTGCCTAAGAAGGACCTGAGGCCCCTTTATAAAGTTAGTGCTGGAAAGAAAAGGTTAGTACCTGTCTTGGAGACTGTTCTGATGTTTTTTATAAGTTGGGGAGCAGGATTTGCCTGTGGCTGATTCTCGAGTCAGTTAATATTGAGTCTTACTTGTGTGACGTTGTAGTCACAGATTTGGTGCATTCCTCTCCTTTCCCTTTGTTACTTTTTAGGAAAGAGTAGGCTGCAATTCAGTTCTCCTTGCCTTTATAGGCTTTATGAAAATTAAGAATGCTGTTTAATAGAGCAAAAAATGTGATGAGATTTCTTGAGAAGAAGGAATAGGGTTACATTTAGAGTGATGGCCCTACTGTTTGTCCTTTGCTACAGATCTTTCCTAATTTCCTTAACCTATTTTGAAACTGGTTTCTCTGCCCAGGGTACCCTCTGGTACTTAGTGGCTCTGGTATCTGCCTCCAGCACATCCTCACTGCTCCCTCTCATGCTCCCTCTTTACCTGCCTTCTGCTGTGCTGGATTTCTCTGGATCCAGGATTTGGGGACGTCACTCTTGAATACCTGCAATTAACATACGACCTTGCTAGGAGAAATGAATGGGAAAATGATGGGATGCCTAGATTCTGTACCCATCTGTGGCTTACAACATGATTCTGAGGGATTACTTTTCTTGCTTATTCCTCCCTCCCAAAGTTGTAAGCTTAATTATCATCTACATACAGAGGAGAACTTGGACTCTCAGAAGCATTGTGTTTGAGAATCACAAAGCAAGAGTCTAGTACTGTGTATGTGTTCTGGCCGGCTCTCGTCCCTATTCGGAATCCCTGTAAGTAGAAATCTGGGGTGCTGCTGCTACTCCTGGAGCTAGAACACTTTTTTAAACTGGTAATTCCAGATTCTCACTGCTCAGCTCGGCATGTATAGTACCCAGTGTAGCAGCATGGATGTTCTTAAACCCTTTTTTTTTTTTTTTTTTTTTAAGATTTTATGTATTCATAGAGACAGAGAGAGGCGGAGAAGAAGGCTCCATGCAGGGAGCCTGATGCGGGACTCGATCCCCGGTCTCCAGGATCACACCCCGGGCAGCAGGTGGCGCTAAACCGCTGCGCCACCAGGACTGCCCGGATGTTCTTAAACCTTAATGGGATTGGTGGGGCATGGTCCCCAGGTATCATCTCTTACTCAGAAAAATACCTTGATTGTGATTCCTGCCAATTTCACTCTTCAGTTCTCTTGGGCATTTTGTGTTCTTGGCCTAGAACCTTTTTGCTGCCGAGAACTGTACATTTGTCCATTGGAAATCTTAAAATGTTTTATTTCAAGGAAGATGGATTTGAAGGATAAAGGAAAAGAGCAAGAATAGGTCCCCTGGCTGTTTTTAAGTCAGCTGGTGATTTACTTTATATGACCTTGGGTATATCCCTTCCCTGTTCGTGACCCTAGTTTCTTTTTTTGTCACCAAAGGAAAGTAACAGTACCAAGTCTGTTTCTTTGGGTTACAGGAGACATTCTGTGGGTAAGTGAGATGTGTAGAAGTTCTTTCACTAGCATCTTACATAGTAGGCTCTGTTGGATTTCAGGCTGAGTGGCTTTCCAGGACTAATATGGTAGATCCCGAGATCATCACTGCTTCAGATTTATTCCTGAATATGATATGGTCTGTCTTTTTTTCTTCAGGTAGAATGGAAGAATCTCACTTCAATTCTAACCCGTACTTCTGGCCTTCTATCCCCACAGTCTCAGGACAGGTAGGTGGTGTTTGTGTTTGCTCCTCCCTATCATGTGCTTTTTTCAATTCTGAGTAGTAAATTCTATTATTGCGGACACTAAAGCAAGATAAATCACCGGCCGTTTCACCAGGGTCCCCCATCACTGAGAATTATAGCATTTCTCTCTTGGCTTCTCTCTGGAAGACAGAGATACTAACCATTCCCTCCTTGACTGCCAAGAAGGACCAACAATGCACAGTGCTTAGGGAGCAGACGGAATCAGACTTTCTTAGGTGGTCGCTTGCCTCCCCTTTCCATTTCTTTTAGATTGAGAACACGATGTTCATCAACAAAATGAAGGATCAGCTGCTGCCAGAGAAGGGCTGTGGGCTGGCTCCACCCCACTACCCCACCCTGCTGACAGTGCCTGCCTCAGTGTCCCTGCCCTCAGGCATCAGTATGGACACAGAGTCCAAGTCAGACCAGCTGACCCCACATAGCCAGGCGTCCGTTACCCAGAATATCACCGTGGTCCCTGTGCCGTCTACAGGACTGATGACTGCTGGTGAGCCACTCTGCTCTTCTCCAATCTGAGGTGTTGATCTTCCATGATCAGTACCCCAGGCTGGAGGGCTCCAAGGACATGGGGAGTGGGATATGTGTTTGATTACTCAATCACATTTTTATTAAGTGCCTACTGTGTGCCTAGCAATGCGCTAGGCATTGTGGGGGATACAAAGAAGTAGAAGATGCGGTCCCTGCCTTTGAGGAGGTGACATTCTTTCCTTCTCTGAATCAAGGAGTCTCCTGTTCTCAGAGGTGGAGAAGAGAAGGGAGTCAATCAAGGGGTAAATCTCACTGTTACTGGGGGTGGGGTGGGGACAGGGGTTAGGAGACCATTATTTTTCTACAGGGTTTGGGGTTTCCTCTATACTCTGGGCTGGGGGAGCGGTGGTGAGGGGTTAATTAGACAACGATCTGGGGGAAATTAAATAGGATCAGGACCAGACAACATGACGCCATCTCCTTTTTCTCCCAATCCTAGGTCCTGGTTTGGTAATCACGTCCCCCTCAGGCTCCCTTGTGACCACAGCTTCATCAGCTCAGACCTTCCCCATTTCGGCTCCCATGATTGTCTCAGCTCTTCCCCCTGGCTCACAAGCCCTGCAGGTGGTCCCTGACCTCTCCAAGAAGGTAGCATCAACCCTAACAGAGGAAGGAGGCGGAGGTGGTGGTGGAGGTGGCAATGTGGCTCCTAAGCCCCCTCGGGGCCGGAAGAAGAAGCGGATGCTGGAATCAGGGCTGCCTGAGATGAATGATCCTTATGTCCTCTCCCCTGAGGATGATGATGACCATCAGAAAGACGGCAAAACCTATAGGTAAGGATCAGAGCCAGGGCAGCAAGGGGTGAGGATCACTGTCTCAGCTTACCTATCCCCTTTGTGTCTTACCCCTAATCAGGCTCTATACTGACAGCTTCCCACCTCAGATCCACTTGCATGTCAGGTGTTCTGTTGTGGGGTAGGAAGGTAGAGCTTATTCCTAGTAGGAATAACACTTCTCTAATGACTCTTCCCCAGGATACAGACCCATTTTACACCTTCCTTTTTGGGGTTGTCAGCATTGACTAATTTTTGAATGACCTAATGGAGTTTCTTCCTTATGATAAGGCTTTAGACTGGGTTTTAGACTCTGTCTCCAGCTCCTTTGTGCTTTCTACATTTTAGATTGCTATTTTTTCTAAGACACTGTTCTGATAAGCCCCTAACCTTAACCTGTGTGCCATCTACTGGTCTTGGGCCATATTTGAGCAGTGAGACTGCCTGACCCTGCATGGTTGGTATGATGGGAGGGGTCTATATAAAAAGATGGGAGGAACAGGATATCACCCCCCCACCTTGGACTGTATGCTTATAAATTCCTGTTTGCTCACTTTCTAATTCATGAAAGTCATTTTGTTTCTCCACTTCCTTTAAGTTGTCCATTGCCAAAAAGTGTTATATTTGCATGTGGTGCGATACAGAAAGAATTGCAGAAGCAAACTCCCTGCCCTTTGAAAGTTGGAAGTCTTTTAATCCCCTTGAAAAACTATCAAGGGCCCTAGTGGGATTGGGAAGTCTGGTGCCAGGTTAGAGAGTGGGATAACCACGGTCACAGCTGTGATGCAGACAGGGGCAGAGGTGCATGGCTGGGAGACTGGGTCTGTCCTTAGTGTACCGAGATGGGCAATGTTGTTCCCATTTTAGGAGCGAAGGGAACTGCGGCACAGGAAATGGACAGAGCCTTGGGCTCATGGATTCAGTCCCCGGCTCCACCACCAACTTGCTGTGTGACCCTGGGCAAGTCCTTTCCCCCCTCTCTGGGCCTCAGTTTCCTCATCTGTAAAATGGGGAGAATTCTGTTTATGCCTCCCATTTGGTAGGAGTACCTATCAGCTGAGATTTGAAATGTTGGGAACTACAAAAGAAATCGTCATTTAGCGTTTATTTCTGTGTCATACACTTCTACTGTGGAGAGTAGCCAAGACCACAGAGTATTTAAATTCCTACTTGTAAGTGAAAACGAGGGGAGTGTTGCTATGCAGAAAGTATCAAGCACCACAGAGTTCCAGCTCCTAATCTGAAAGTTCATTGCAGCTTTATTATTATAGGTGTATCCCATTTTATACAATAAAAGTGTTCCTGGAAAATGTTTGCATCATACCATTTTATAAAGGTACCTGACAATTTTGATTTCATTTAAAAGCACCTTTTATACATCACTTCATAAAACGAAAATCCCTTTGCTTTGTAGAAATTTGGATTTTTTATGTATTTGCTTACAGTGAGGTCATTGTGACACAGAGATACACCTCCTCTAGAAAATTTCTTGTAAGAGTAATGGGCTAGTTCTCTGACCCCTATGGAGCTTTGCACATGGATCAGGGTCCTCTGATTCTGCCAAGGGTTTGTTTTTGTTTTGGTTGTATATTTTTTGGACCCACATTAAAGCTATCTCTGGACTTCCCAAACCGTGTCTGTGGGCAGAAACGTGAATATACAATTGGAAGGAAGCCCTGATAGCATTTTCTATACCTTCAGTGTTTTGGGGATTGTTGACTGGCCCCATGCCCCCAGGTGACTAAGGAGAACTCTGAAATTAAGGGCACCTCATTATATTCTTGGTGAATGGAATTTCTTCAGAAACTCAAAACCCTGAAGTTCTTAAGGATACTTTTTAATCACATACAAAAACAAAACAAAACAAAACCTATTTCTCTGCACGTTTGGGTCAACCACGTCCATTCCTGTGGTCAGTGCATTTGACTGGGTATTGTTGGACTTGGGTTCTATTAGTCTAGACAAGTAACTTATTTCTAGCTCTTTGATCCCATCTTTCAAATGGGAAGATCAGTCATGGCCCCAATTTATCATTTGGAAATATTTTTTGGAGGGAAAATAAGAGTATCTGAAATTATTTTTTAATATCTTCGGGAAAACAGTTCTTATTGTAAACAGGGCCATTGCAATGCGTGCCCCCAAAGGGGCCGTATTCTTGTGTTGGATGTGAATGGCCCTCTGGCATTGTGCACCTAGTGATATGGGGTGGTAGCTTTTCTGTGTCCTGCTAACTGCTCACTGCCACAGTGCTCCTAAATCAGATTTCTTTCCATCCACCCAACACTTCAAATTAAAGGACCTCTGCTCTTTTATCTGGCTTCATAGGATTTCAGAGTTGGAAATACTTTAATAGTCACCTAAGCTATCCCCTTCTCTCTAGTTTTAGTCTTCTGGACATTCTGACAGATGAGTCTGCCTCTCCTTGACTACCTCTAGTGTGAGGAATCTCAAATTAGGTTAGAGTCATAGCTTTGTAGTGAATAAGTGTTTGCCCTTTGGCAAATTACTTAACCTTTCTGAGCCTTGGGGTTCCTTTCTGTAAGCCAGGGATAATACTTGCCAGGTTGTTGTGAGGAGTGGAAACAATGTGTCTAAAGCACCTAACTGGCCTGTGGGTGCTGGCAGTATCCACACAACAAATGGCAACTATTACTATCATTATTATGATCATCACTGCTAAATCTTCTACCTTGTGAGACAGCTCCTGTCCATTGTGAATTTCAGTTTTTTGCGGATTCTTCTCTAGTTGAAAACTTGGGTAAAGAGAGTTATTTTTTCTTGTATTGTTAATTTCACGTTAAAGGTACAGTTGTGTGTTCCACACTTACACACAAACTATGAGCTTTTGTTCCAGTTAAAATGAATGTTGTTCCACTTGTGGGAGAAATTTTAGCAACCAAGGGAAATTATCTTGTAACTTTAGTAATGTTCCCCTCCTAGTGACAATGTGTCCAGTTTCTTTTTTTTTTTTTTTAATTTTTATTTATTTATTTATTTATGATAGTCACAGAGAGAGAGAGAGAGGCAGAGACACAGGCAGAGGGAGAAGCAGGCTCCATGCACCGGGAGCCTGATGTGGGATTCGAACCCGGGTCTCCAGGATCGGGCCCTGGGCCAAAGGCAGGCGCCAATCCGCTGCGCCACCCAGGGATCCCCCTGTGTCCAGTTTCTAACCTCAGTGGAACGTATAGTAGCCTGAGCTCATCCATTGGCACTGGTACCGTTAATATTAGTGCAGTTTTCTTATTAGAGAACATTCGGCTTCCCTTTGACTGTGCTGGGTGTTTGTTGTCCCTTCTAGGGGCAAATATTTATTTATCTCTCCATTTTACAGACCAGAAAATTGAGGTCTAGATTGAGGAGCAAGCTTGCCACTGAGCCCTGAATAGAGCCCAGGTGTCGGAACTTCCATTGGCGGTGTCCTTTGGACTTTACTGACTATAAACAGAACCTCTGACCTCCCATATAATGGTTGGGCATGCCAGACAACAGCCAGGAATTGGTAACTGGGAATCAGATTTCTTTCAGAGTTTTCAAGTACCCAGAGAAATAGAAATTGACCTCCATGACTAGAATTTTCATGACAACATTAATATAGAGATCATACCCCCGAATAATGTAGTCTTTTTTTCTTTCTTTGAGAAGCACAGAGTTCTTTTTAGTCCAGAGGATAATCTCCGTTATCCTCTAAAAATTCTCCTGGGACCAGAAAAAAGCCGAAATCATCACCCCCCACTGTCCCAGCCCAGTTGGAGAGGAACCAGAGCAGAGGGACTTTTTCCCCAGTTGCCTGGCTTCCAGGTGTTGCCCTTCCTACTAGCTCACAAGGTGCACTGCAGAGTTGTTCAGGAACGAGAGCATTCCAGCTTCAACACAGATAACTCCTACTTGATAAAGTCTGAATAGTTGTGGCTTATCTCGCTCAGAGGCCTCCTTATTTGATATTCTTGGGCAATGTCAGAACAGGAAGGATTGCCCACTCAGGTGATGGGTGAAAGTGTATCAGCTGCTATGGATGTCAACCCAGAGCGCTGCCATTGGCTCCATGTGCTAGGAAAGAGGAAAGGTTCAGCATGGAAGCTCAGTGTTTCACAAGTCTTTTCCTTCTAAATCTTTGAGGGCTATGGCTCACTCCCAACACTTACCTTGGCTCTTTGCGGTAGTGGTTGATTAGCAAGGGACTCGAGGGTGGAGGTGGTCGGTGGAACACCAGATCCAGGGTGGAGGCTACACACACATGATTTGGAAAAGGCCCTCCAAATAATTCCTATCCTGTACCCCCATACCTCTAGAAATCATTGGCAGAAAGGAAGTAAGAGAGAATCTAAGAGGATAATTACGTGAAAGATAGGAGAGAAGTTCTTCTGGGGAATATAGTCAGTTTGTCCTCATTATCATCTCAGGAACTTGAGAACTACCCAAGGGATGTACTTTATACACAGGAAGTCGAGGAAAGGAGCCTTTTCAAAGTCTGAAATCAAGTTCTAGGCAGAAGGAAAGCAGAAGTTAGTTGATATTCCTGGCCTGACAAAATCCGCCTGAGCCTAGAGCTGATAATAAGATTTAGCTGTCTTTTCTGGTTGGAGTTTTGTTTCTGTACACACTGAGGGAGTCAGATCATTCAAATGTGTATTGAATATTTGTATTGTGTAGGTCTATATAGACACTTAGACTATAAAGAGAAGTAGAACAGATGCTCCTGGTAGGGGCCTTACGGCATTGTTGCAGTAAGAAAGAGATCAGATAGGCTGGCTTCTGTGGAAGTGGAGGGGCGGGTGCAGCAGCTGCCTGCCAGTGGGAAAGTTGTAACCGCTGCCCTCACTTGGCCCAGGTGCCGGATGTGCTCCCTGACATTCTACTCAAAGTCGGAGATGCAGATCCACTCCAAGTCACACACCGAGACCAAGCCCCACAAGTGCCCGCACTGCTCCAAGACCTTCGCCAACAGCTCCTATCTGGCCCAGCACATCCGAATCCACTCAGGGGCTAAGCCCTACAGCTGTAACTTCTGTGAGAAATCCTTCCGCCAGCTCTCCCACCTCCAGCAGCACACCCGGTAAGGCTGCTCTTGGTTTTGCCCTGCCACCCAGCTGCGAGCCCCGTCCCCGAGGCCACGTCGCCTGAGCCTACTCTCCTCCTGGTTTCTTTTTTCCCTTTTGACTTTGCCCTCGGGGAGCCTCAGTCCACTCTTGTTACTGTCTGTAAGAAATAAACTGTGTGTATTTTAGCAGCTTGCGGGGGCCTGGGAAAGTGTGTTCTCCAATCCCAAGGTCTGGAACAGTTTTTGTGGTTTCTCTCTGTGTCTGTGTTTGGAAATCTTCTGCAGAGCAGGCCCTGCTTATACTCTCTGCTTCAGGTCAGAGCCAAGGTGTGCATTCAACCTCAGGTCCATGGGGAGCAGGCGGTATTGGCCTTTGTTCAAATTACTATTTGGAAGCAGGGTATCTGTGGTGAGTTTGTGTGACCTTAGGACAAAGCCGAGGGTTGACAAGACTGGAATTGTTAAGGTTACCAGGAGCCAGGGGTCGCAGTTCTTCACCATCTCACTGCCATCCTAGCCACCGACAAGAGCAGCAGCAACATAGATCTGGGTGTCCTCGTCATTAGCCTCTCCAGGCCGGAGTGTGTTTGGGAGGAGGGAGGAGGGGGTGCTCTCATCCGTCAAGCAACATCATTTCACCCAGCAGAGAGCTGAGCCCATGGTGTCGAACCGCTTCCTCCTCCCCCCTTCCCTCCTCTCCTCTCCTCTCCGGCAGGATCCACTCCAAGATGCACACGGAGACCATCAAGCCCCACAAGTGCCCGCACTGCTCCAAGACCTTCGCCAACACCTCCTACCTGGCCCAGCACCTCCGAATCCACTCGGGGGCCAAGCCCTACAACTGTTCCTACTGCCAGAAGGCCTTCCGCCAGCTCTCCCACCTCCAGCAGCACACACGGTAAGGGAGAGTGGCGGGCTACTGCCCCCGCCCCCGCTGGCATGCCCTCCCCACCCCCCGCCCCGGACATACACAACAACCCGCATGCGGGGGGCGGGGGAGAGACCTGGCTGGAGGAGAATACGACTGGCATCTGGGAGAAGAAGAAGCAACAACCACCCTGAAGAAGCGGACGCTCAGAGAGAACCTTTCTGGGGCATAAGCAGCACAGGGGAGATACAATGACTGTATGACATTCCCTGATCCATGGGAGGAAGAGACTCAGCTCACCTGGAGCAGAGGCAACTTCTGCCTTCATTACTCTCCCTGAAAATACCAACACACACATCTTGGCAAGAGTTTCTTCTTTACACCAAAGCAAGGGCATTTGATTGGAGAAGACCATACCTCTGGCCCTTAGGGCACCAGCTATAAATAGGAGATACAATCAGACTTTAGCTGGGTACCGGCCTGGTGACACCAACAGGATCAAGCAAGGCTCCAAGGATGACAGGAGTAGAGAATAAAACAAAACACATCTGAAACGGTCACAGGGAACTGGCAAACAAAATGAAAAGGCTCACGCTCAATAAGGATGCGCACTGCTTGTCCCACGAATCTGGAGTGACTAGGAGGAAGTGCACCAGCCAACTGGAAGAGTTGATGATGTCCTTCAACGGTTGCTCAAGTTGAGCTGGAGTCTAGATTTACTACTGGTCAGAAGCCTTCTCACGTGGTTGCTTCTGGATGTGGTGATTCCCCTCAAAGTGGCCAGACATCCTGCTTTGCGAAGAGGAGAAGTCGGGCTTTCCTCACAAAGAGATGCATCCCGTGAGGTTTCCAAGATTTTATACTGGAGGTCCAGAAAAGCACCTGGTTGCAAAAATGGTTCTGAAGTGTCCCTGATGAGGAACAGGTGTCTGCAGACCCTCAAGTCCTTGGCTCATCTCAGTGGAGGGCCCTGTCGTGTTTGGGAAAGAGGTCAAACTAGTACTAAACTAGGCATTAGGAGACTGGACTGGGAAAATCCCCCAAGGAGTTTCCATGAGTATTAATATCACTGCTACTCTCCATAATTAGCATAACTTTGTTCTTTGATACCAGAACTTTTTCTGGAAGCGGTGTTCAAGGTTGAGGGAATAGGTTTCGGTTGTATGGTGGGGGCCAAGGAAGAAGTGTTCTGTGTTTCTTTTTCCTTACCCATGTGTTTACCTAATGTTTCTGAACATCATTAAGGACAGCTACTATAGGAGTTGACTTGTCTGCCATAGTTTGGACTGCCTGTCTCTTGGCTGCCAACCCATCAGTCCCTCCTCCCCCAGCAGAGGAGCCCAGCTCGAGCTGAGTGATGGAGGCAGTGAGCAGGGATCAGGCCCCATGGCATGATCCTCTTGAGAAATATGCTGAGGCTGGGACCTCCTGGAAAGCCAGCTTGTGCTCCTGTAGGAGGACAGGCATGACCTGGAGGAGGTCTGTTAAGGAATTAATCCCTGAGTGGCCTTGCTGACATCCTTTCCCTTTCTTCTGTTCTCATCCCCTGCAGAATCCACACCGGTGACAGACCATACAAATGTGCACATCCAGGCTGTGAGAAAGCCTTCACACAGCTGTCCAATCTGCAGGTAAATGTTTTACCTTCCACACTGGGGCCTCGTATCAAAGATTTGGGTCAGAGTGCCATCTGACCAGCACAGTGGTTCGCAAACTTTTTCAGGACCCTTTTACACTCTTAATTACTGGGAAGCGCAGAGAGTTTTTGTTGATGTGTATAATGTCTGTCTACACAGAGAACGTGAAACTGAAAAACTTGAAAAAATATTTAGTAATTCAATTAAAAATTACAAACCCATTGCACACTAACGTGTATAACATATTTCCTAATATACTCCTCCACTAAAAAATTGAAAGAATGGCTGTTTTGTTTTGTTTTGTTTTTAAGGGACTGTGTGCACAAGCAGGGTTGAGGAGGGGCAGAGAGAAACTCTTAAGCTGGCTCCATGCTCAGCGAGGAGCCCAAAGCAGGGCTCAATTTCACAGGGCTCTGTCTCACAACCCTGAGATCATGACCTGAGCTGAAATCAGGGCGGATGGTCAACAGACTGTGCCACCCAGGTGCCCTGGCATCATTTTACATGTTGCACATTTTTAATGTTTAGCCTACGAGAAGACAGCTAGATGCTCCTACCTGCTGCGCTCAGTCTTTGCGACATTACATGTCATGTAATCTCTGTAGAGATGTGAGAGAGTGAGAACAAAAAGGCAAACATGGTCTTACTATACTCATTTGGGGAACCATTTTGACTTTGGGGGCCCTGTGGAAAAGTCTTGGTATTCCCTAGTGTGTCCCCAGGCTTTACTTTGGGAACCACTGGGCTAGTGGGGCCAGCATGTCCATCCTTCTCACTTTTCATGATCCTGGAGTGTGCTGCAGGAGATAGCCTGTACCTCCTCCAGTTTTATTGAAAGCCTCCGGATGGAAAGAGAACCTGGGAGGCTGACACCCAGTTCAGGGCTCTGGCATTACGGTCACAGAGGCAGGAAGGATGAATCCATTGCACTCATCCTGATTTCTCCTCATTTTTCCAGTCCCACAGACGGCAGCACAACAAAGATAAACCCTTCAAGTGCCACAACTGTCACCGGGCGTACACGGACGCAGCCTCCCTAGAGGTGCACCTGTCTACGCATACGGTGAAGCATGCCAAGGTGTACACCTGCACTATCTGTAGTCGGGCATATACGTCGGTGAGTGCTCAGTGCTTCCCTTTACTTCCCCATCGGCCTGTAAGACTACAGTCTTTGCCCCGTCATCTCAGATAAAGAGCTGTCGCCTTGAACATGCGAGCGCCCTCGCGCCAACTTCCCAGCATCAATGAAGAAGTTAACTAGATCTGTAGCTGAGGAATTTAGGGGGTGCCTGATCCCTCAAGCCCACAGAGAAAGATTGCTAAGCAAGGATTCTTAATTTTACTTAAACATGAGGTAAAATAGAGTGACTTGCAATTTGGAGAGAAGGATTTCAGTTAGAAGTTTTCCATTAGACTCCAGGAAAAGGTGGTAAGACCACTTATCTTTGAGGCACTGACCGCTTTCCCCATGCCGGTGAATGCCCACCGTGTCCCTAACAGTCTCCCTCGCCTTCCTGCCCGATAGTGAGCACTGATAGAGGCTCCCGAGGAGAACTTGCCCACGGCTCCGCAATGTCCTTGTAGAAAGGAGTATGGTTGTATTTATAGATGTATTATAAGTAACCTCTGCTTCTCTTTCATCCTTCAACTCTTTTTCAACATCTCCCTCAGGAAACGTACCTTATGAAACATATGCGCAAACACAACCCTCCCGATCTCCAGCAACAAGTGCAGGCAGCGGCAGCGGCGGCAGCAGTGGCCCAGGCCCAGGCCCAGGCCCAGGCTCAGGCCCAGGCCCAGGCCCAGGCCCAGGCTCAGGCCCAGGCCCAGGCTCAGGCTCAGGCTCAAGCTCAGGCCCAGGCCCAGGCCTCCCAAGCATCACAGCAGCAGCAGCAGCAACAGCCACAGCCACCACACTTCCAGTCCCCTGGGGCAGCCCCCCAGGGTGGGGGTGGCGGGGACAGCAACCCCAACCCTCCACCCCAGTGTTCCTTTGACCTGACACCCTATAAGACGGCGGAGCATCATAAGGACATCTGCCTCACTGTCACCACCAGCACCATCCAGGTGGAGCACCTGGCCAGCTCGTAAAGACCTGTGCTGCCACCCACTGGGAAGAGGGGAAAGAAGTTCTGGTCCCTTCTTTCTCCAACTTCTCTCGGTGGGAAAAGTCTTCTTCCTTGACAGGCCTCGGCTCCATCTCCTTGGGCCTCAAGCACGGCCTTCCTACACAGGATACCATGCTTATTCTCACCTCTTCTTCAAAAGGAACATCAGCCCTCCTGATTGGCAAAGGAATAATGAGCTGCTAGTGTAGTCCAGCAGCCTCCCCTTCCAAGCATAGCTTTTCAAAATTGGGGGTTGGTGCTCAGGGGAGGGATTTGCTATGACCTCATAGAAACTTTTCCAGTGTGGGCACTTACCCTCTCGTTACCCTCATAATCCTCAAAGTTGGGGCTGGTGGAAGAGTAGAGGCTCGACCTCCCTGATCTCTGAGAGAAGGGAGCCCTAGATGCAACCGGCTTCCCATTCTATTCTTGCCTGCAAAAGAACAGAGGTTTTTCAAATGCCCCGACCCCCGGGAGCTGTCTTCCCCTTGTGGTCTCTTCACTTCCTACCTACTGCTGGAAGAGGGAGATCGGGGTGGGGGTCAGACCCCCTTTATTTGTAAAGGGGCAAGGGCTGAGATGTGGTCCCCAAGGGGCCGGAGATCCCCAAAATGGTCAAGGGTGGCTTAGAAATGTGGGTTATCGTTTTCCTTGGAGCCTCTCCCCTTCTCTGCCAGCCAAAACCCTATACTCAGTCTCCCAATCCCAAAGCCAGAGGAGCTATGGGAGTTTTGTGTTCTTTATGAAAGCCCAAAACAAGGGGTGTTGCAGAGAAGGGAGAGTTCAGGGCAAACACAAGGACTGGACTTAGCTCCCTAGGTGCCACGGTCAGTTGCTGGACACGGATTTATATATAAATATATATATAAATATATATATATATACCCACTCATCACGGCCATCTTTGTTGTAACCATTTCTGTGTTTATAAATGCATTATCTCTGAGAATTTTCATATTTGATGTTTTACTTTTTGTCCTTTTTGTTTTTCTCCACCCTGTCGTCTGGCCAACAGCATTTTTATTTCCTTTTGTCCTTATTTTTAAATCATGGCAGATTTCAGAGAAAAGAGAAAATGAAAAAAAAAAATCAGGAAACCAGTTGTTATAAAGCAATTTAAAATGAAGAAAAAAAAAACTTATGTACAAACCAAGGGGTGTTTTTAGAACCTTGTATAGAAATAAATTCGTGTAAAAGGATCAGAGGCAGTGGAGCTGCTGATGTGAGCGAGCATGGGAAGAAGATACCTGGGGAGATGTTCAAGGATTTACACTAGAATGTGTGTATGTGAAGAATGAATGCTGTTTGATGAGGCTCTATGTGTGTATCCCCAAATGTGGAAGGGAAAGCTTTGGTACTTCCAAGTGAGATCTTGGTTTATGAGGATTTCTTTCTTTTTTAAGATTTTATATATTCATGAGAGGCAGAGACACAGGCAGAGGGGGAAGCAGGCTCCATGCAGGGAGCCTGATGTGGGACTCCAGGATCATGCCCTGGGCTGAATGCAGGTGCTAAACCGCTGAGCCACCCAGGAATTCCCAGTTTATGAGGGTTTCTAAAATCTTATTTGTGGCCTGCAATGCCTACATATTATGAGAGCAAGAAGATTTCAATCGTGTTAATAAAACCACTAAGCTCCCCATTAAAAGAAATGGAAGCGTGCTCTCTTGAAAGGGCCTATACTCCTGCCTGAGCATCACCAGGCTCAGTGCTAATTCCAGCTGGCACAGTGTGTGCAGACATTTGTTATCCGTATCCATAGGTTTGCAATGGTGGAAGCCATAACCAGAACTGAGTAACAATGCAGGACAGTCGTGCTGAGAAGTAGAAGTGGTCAGGAAACCAACTTTTCAGCCCTGGCTTTACTGCCAACCAGTGTTCACTGAGAGGCGTCCAAGACTAGTTAGCCTCCAAGGTTCATTTTGGGATATTAAAAGCCTTTAAGCACTGAAAAGGTTGACAAAGCTCTAACATTGACTAACATGGCTGTCTTCTGTATACTGCTGGGCAACCATGCTCATTATCAAGAAGAATGTGGGTAGTCCATGAAATCATGCCTACTTAAGTTTTGGGCTCAGCTGGTCTCTTGGGTATTGAGGCATCCAATACCTCTCAATCTGCAGTGTGAGTCTAATGAATGTATTACCTGAGACGAAATCTGTCAATGTCTGCTAGCTTCTGAATACTTTTATCCCCCTGCTCTTCATCAATCACTGAAAATGCCCTGACAGCCCTGTCTTCACCACAGGTATTAGAACCAGAATCTACTAAAGGATTCACTCACAATCATTGCAAGAACTCTATGAGGTAGGTACTACTAGTCTCCATTTTACAGAGCAGGACATAAGCACAGAAGTTTACCATATCCGGGGGCAAGACACTTGGAGTGAAGTCTTCTAGATCCAACTACTGCATCCTACCACTAAACCTGAGATTTCATCTTCTCCTTCTTCACACTTTTGGCCCAAATCAGGTGGCTGAAAAATCTTTCATTAAAACGCTGCCTTGTGGCATTGACAACAGTCACGAATATGTGAGTTAGGAAGGACAACAGCCTCCAAAAGCTTTCTTACTAATACCACTATTAGGCTATGGGCTTTGAGTTGCTTCTCCAGCATGGTGGGAGCCTGTCAGGCTCTGGACTGGTTTCCGTCCCCATATAGAGACCTCCTCACTGTACCCTAGTGGACCAGGATGGGAGCTGGCCCGGTTGTGACAGCCATGGTGCTAGTTAACATCAGATATAAACTGGAAAACAAAATCAGCGGAAGGGTGGCGGGGGTGGGGGTGGTGGGGGTGGAAGTATAAGAAAAGAAGAGGGCAAGGCTGGAAGTACTATGTCACTTTATACCAGAATGTAATCAAAAGGCCAGGAACCCTGACGAGTCTTGGAGAATTACAGCTTTATTGTGTAAGGCTTAGTATGTAGATTTTATAAACAATTATTTTTTTTTGCATGTTAAAAAAATTATCCCGGTGAGCTGACGCTCAGGCGAGTGAACAGAAACGCGAATGGTTTCATTCTCGCAGCACCAGCTAGGCCTCCCCAACTTCGTTAAGAAACTAGCTACCTTGAAGGAAGTCTTGGCTCAGCCAGGACCTGCTGTGGTCATTAGATTAATATCCTGTAAAAAGGAGAAAAGAGTCCCCATTCGCTGAAAAGCGATATTTCTGGACCACAGTCCTAAAGTGACGGGGTTGGGGGAGGTGGGGGGGTGGGATGAGGGTTGGTTTGCCCATCATAACCCCACATCTCTGTTTTGGAGGGAAAAAAAAAAGTTTGATAGGGAATGCAAAATGGCGACCCGCAGTGACGTCATGCCCACCTCGGTCGCGTACCGGGGCCTCAGTAAGGGCGGAAGCGGGCTAGAGCCACCTCAAGGAGCCTCGGCACCCGCAGCCCGGCTACCTACGCAAAAGGGAAAGTTTTAACGTCGGGCGGATGTGTCCCCCCGGATAATTGACTGAGGGCGGAAGCTCTCCTTTTAAGGGCGGAAAGGCTCCAACCCACGGATAATAGCTTCAGCGCCTGTTGCGTTTCAGTCACTTCCGGGGCGGATCGGAAGTTGCTTTGTTTTGCTTCAAGATGGCTGCGGGGATGTATTTGGAACATTATCTGGACAGTAAGAGCAGGCTGGAGGAGGGGGTCAGGGGTCATAGAGTGGTGGGGGGGATCGGAGCTGAGGAGCTGTACGGCCCCGAAGTCCCGGTGGTCAGAAAGTCCCAATTGTGAAGGGGTTCCGTGAAAGAAAATATTGAAGGGTGTGAAGAAAGAGGGGGCGGGGCAGCAGGGTCGAGGCCTGGCTTTTGGGTGTAGACGAGGGAGGGGCTGCGCGGTAGGGCTGAGGGGGGTGTCTCTTGAGGGGCTAATGGGCAGAGCCGGGAAGGTATTTGCCGACCCCATCTCAGGGTCTCCAGCCTCAGGATATCCATCCCCCATGCCCCCCTCCCCCAATCCTTCAGGATCGGTCGTTTTAGTGTATCACCCACTGCCATTTGGAGCAGCGACAAAGACTTGCTCGCAGCTTCTCTGCTCTGTTCTTTCTCAGAAACGGTTTTTCAGTGGGGATCGGGGGTGGTCAGTGACTACTGTCAGATGATAAACTGGAACGCTTCTCTTCTTCCAATTCCTACCAAATGGAAATCCGGTGCTACGTTTATTCCATTTGTGTAACCCACCCCTTCACAAAGCCTGTCACCCTTATGCGCTTACATTTGTCTTAGTGTTGAGAGTCATTCATTCATTCATTTATTGAGGCCTTGCTCTGCGTCAGACATAATGGCAAGTACTGCGGAGATACCAAAATGATGACACAGACCCTGCCCTCCAGTGCTTATAGTTTAGGAGGAAACAGATTCTGCTAATAAATAATTATAAAACTGTGACAAGTGAAATAATAGAAATACATTAAAGGACAGTTGGTAGCACTGGAGAAAGAGGGGCAAATTACTTGGGGACGTAGGTAAAGCTTTACCAGAGGATGTGATGTTTGAATAGAGTTTTGAAGATCAAGTGTTTATTTGCCAGTGTGAAGAAAGAAGGAAACTGCTGGTTGGGGAAAGCATCAGCAAAGGTATTGTGGTGGGTGTGTGGCAGGTCAAGGAATAGTGAAGTCAGAGTGCTTGATGTATAGGACTCTTAAGGTGGACGATTGGCAAGTGAGCCTGGAGAAGGAGGTGGGAGCTAGGTTGTGCAAGGTCTTTTAAGCCAAGCTAAGAGGCTTGCACACTGTAGATAGTCAAGAACCAACAGATTTTAAAAATAGGTTTCAATAAAGGAAAATAACTGATGTATGATAAGGTCTCAGAGAGTCACCGAAGTCTTTAGGAGCTAAAGGGACAGATGAAATGGCTGGGTAGTTGAGAGAGAAGGAAGAATACAAAGTGCCTCCTTGATTTCCTGCTTGGGAGGTGAGGTAGATAGGATACCTTCAGCAAGATAGGGAATTCAGGAGTAACAGCAATACACCTAACTCAATTTAAACTTAAGCACAGGCATGGCGATTGTATGAGAGTGAATGAGATCGAGATCATTCAGGGAATACAAGCAAAGTGGGAAACGAGGGGGTTAAAGTATAGTCCCAAGAAAACATTAGCATTTAAGGGACAGGCTAGCAAAACGTCACTGTTGGAATTATCAGAAAGTATAGGATGAGATTTGGAATCCTGAGAGGAAGAAAGTTACTGAAGGACAGAAGATGGTGCCAACTGCTGCAGATGTATTTTTTAAGATAGGACATATAGGGATCCCTGGGTGGCGCAGCGGTTTAGCGCCTGCCTTTGGCCCAGGGCGTGATCCTGGAGACCCGGGATCGAATCCCACATCGGGCTCCCGGTGCATGGAGCCTGCTTCTCTCTCTCTCTCTCTCTCTCTCTCTCTCTCTCTCTCTCATAAATAAATAAATTTAAAAAAAATATTAAAAAATAAGATAGGACATATAAAAGATCATTTGTTTTGGAGCTATTTTAGAAGTTGAAATGGTGTCATGGGAAGAGATTTTTTCTTTTATGGAGAGACTTAAGTATATATGTCTTTATTCAGGTATTTATTGAAGACCCTCTGTACTCAAGTCATAGTAAAATGAGAGAGAAGCTAGGTGTGTCCAGTCCTTTTGGAGGGTCAGGGAGATAGATACCAAATAACCAGCAGTCCTTCTGGAGGGTTAAGGAGATAGATACCAAATAACCGGTTACACAACTAATTCCTTAACCACAGCTGGATAAGTGCCCAAAAGGGTAGAGCTAGAATAACTTGACAGCATAATCCAGGGCACTTGGAGTCTGGAGAAGTCAGAGTTGAGCTGAACTTTGAAGAATGAACAGGAATTCAGTAGGAAAAGAGGTATGGTGGAGGTGGGATGAAGAACACCAAGCAGTGCATTCTGGACAGAGAAGGCAGTACTTGGAAAGCTGGGGAGCAGGATGAGCCCTGGCAGGTTGAGGGCACTCAGAG